CCCATCCCCCTTCTGTTCTGAAATTTGATTTGTCCTTTTCATATGTGTTCATTTTTTTAATTGTATCCTTTGGTATATATGGTTGTGACAATTTTCTTCCACTATTTGATCTGAAGAAGTGGGTATGGCCCACGAAACCTAATAAACCATCTTGTTAGTCTTTAAAGTGCTACATAGTCCTGTTTTTTGTTTCAGCTACACCAGACTAACACGGCTACATTTCTATCACTATATTTTGAAACTGACTCTAACCTGAAGCTAACTGGACCTAACTATATAGCTCACGGACTCCTCCCACACCCAGCAGTCTCTGCAAGGCTTAGCTGTTAACTAGGGTTAGCTGGCCTATGCCTTGGTTCTAATTTCCTGCTTCTCAGAGGTCTTTCCCCCCCCCCCCCCGCCATGTGACAGTCCATTCTGTCACAAACTGAAATGTGTTGAATTAACTACTTGCTGTGAATCATTCATTTGGAGGTTCCTATGGTAATACCTTCCCTGGGGTTTGCTATAAAGCTGGTTCTAATTAGTCACTTATGTGATTGCCCTCTTAGTGCCTCACAGTTATTAATGGATTTTATCCTTACCACCAAAGTAGTAGTATCATCCCCATTTCACAGCGGGGAAACTGAAAGATAGGGTAAATTAAATTACTTGACCAAGGTCACACAGCAAATACGGTTGAATCAGAATGGGAACGTGCATCTTCTCTGTTGGAGAATAAGGCTGGGGCACTAGCTCCTAACCTCCTCAAACATGGTCGCTGAATGGCTTCAAACCACAGCTCATAGCAGATATGTAAGAAAGACAAATAACAGCTATCTCCGCAACTCCTGCATAGAGACTTCTTTTTTCCCCTGTCTTCCTCTCCTTCCCACTTTCCTGGCCACTAGGATAGCTTACCATTAAGAAAGCAAACCCATCACATTTTGAAGAGACAACGCCAGAGCAGGGAGGGCGGCGACGGAGGCTGGCTAAGACAATGTATTTTTAGTCATTTCAATAAATTATGGAGACGTGAAGTTGATAATTTATTGAAGAAGGGAATCGGGGGATTCTATGTAAATGTTTTCAGATGAATAATTAATGTGGCTTTCTAACATCAGGGGGTCTTTAATTAAAGCCTCTGTTAAACAAGGCAAGGCAACAGACAGGCCCATTCTGCAGCAGCTAATTGCATCTTTCCCATGTATAGCAGCAATTCAGAGATGAAGCATCATTCGCATCCTTAGAGGAGGACAGATCCCTCCTGGGGTGAGTGATGTGATATTTTGTAGGCTAGCCCAGTGGCCTGTAGGAGATCACGTGTTAAATTAGGGTTGACATATATACCAGCTGCCAGGTGCTGGGTGGGGGCTAGAGGTTCAGGACTTCTAAGCAATGCAGAAAGCAAGATGTAACCTTAAAAAATAAGGAATGCAAGTGCCTTCCCTTTCTACCTGTGTGCATTTGCCCCCCTTCGTCTGCCTGGCTACCTCCCATCCCATGTCTGCCTACACCAGTGGTCCCCAACATGGTGCCCGTGGGCGCCATGGCACCAGCCAGAGCATTTATGTGTGCCTGCCTAGTGACCCGGGCCGGCCCGAGCCATTCTTGTGCCCCGGGCCCATGCGCTGCCCCACCCATGGACCCGGAAGCCCCAAAAGGTTGGGGACCACTGCCTGGTCCCTGCCTGCTCGGTATCTGCCTACCCTGAGTTGGCTCATGGTAAGTGTATAGGAAGAAGGGAGCATTTCCAGCAACAGGGTAGGAGTATAGGTCAGGATTTGTCCTACCCTTTCCTATCCCCGGCACAGCACCCCTAATGGCCCCTCACTGAGATTACAGCTCTCCTGAACTCCTTCGGGCCTCTTTGTTCTTGAGGATTTCAAATTAGGCGCCTCTTCCCATTATTTATTTAATTCAAATACCAGCAACTGAGTTAATGAGGGAGACTCCACCAAAGACAACAAAGGAGAACATAGTGAAGCCTCCTCCCCCTCCCCACGGCTCTTTCTGTAAAGAATTGGTGGCGACTGAGTAAGCTGTCCCTTCAAGACACTCTACATCATACCATCTGATATGCATTTGACTCTGTGTCAGTCTCATGAAGGAAAACATAAAAGCCTTGTTGCTTTGGATTGAGAATAAGAATAGAAAATATATGGAATGAAAGCAGTTGCTCCATAGTTCGGGTTGCAGCTGTGTTTCCAGTATAAAACCCAGTTATGATCCACTTCTTAAAATCCACAGTGAAAGTCAAAAGGACCTCAACATTGGTAAGTTAAGTCAAAGGCCAAAGTTGAATTTTTCTGGAAAATTTGAAGTGAATTAGCCCTAGGGCTCATTCGTTTTATTATCTTGTGTGAGAAGAGCTGTTAAAAGTTTTCTAACTCCCCTTTCCCCACTTTGTAGAAAAAACAAACACCCACAAAAAGACAGCTGAAACCTACTTTTACTGGCCTCTTCTTGCTGAGAGCTAGTCCCCAGGACCAACATTTACTTAATTAATTTGAAAACACAAAAGTTATTAACATTTTCTTCAGTAATGTTGCTAGGGAACATTGGCTCTGGTTAGCTATCATGAGATAGTCCTGCAATACACAATCTGTGTTCATGAGTCCAGCTAAGGCAGAAGAGAGTCAAGAGACGATGATTCACATATGTCATCTAATTCTGTGCCAGAACAAAGACCTATTTGGTCTGCATTCTAAAATTGAAATAAGATGTAATTTGCGCTATGCAAATTGCGTATCTTACTTGTTTTTTATTTTGAAATAGGCTATTTCGTAATTTGGCGCATCTACACAGCGCCAAATTTTGAAATAAAGCACTATTTTGAGACATCCCTTATTCCTCATGGAACAAGGTTTACAGGGATGCCAAAATAGCGCATGCATTATTTCAAAAATTATTTTGAAATAGCAGACACGATCCTTGGATGCGGGGTAGCTATTTCAGGATAACTCCAGTATCCCAAAATAGCTTTGCAGTCTAGATGTACCCCTTGTGGAGAAAGGAGATGCTTAAGAGTTGCTCAGGGATGCAGGAGAGGGCAAGGGGAAGGATCAGGGCCTCTCAATCTTCTTCATCCAACAAAGCTCACGGAATTCTTCAAAAAATGCTCCCAATGCTGTGGGCTGAAGGAGTTTCTTTGGCTGCCGAAGCTGTATTTGGTGGCACTACATGCAAAGCAGGGAAACTGCTAAAGGTCGGGTAGTTTGAATGTTTCCTTTACACATTCCTAGACTTCATAAATTAGGGTGTTTTTGTCCAGATGAGTTCTGCATTTCCTGGCTTTCTTCCTACCGTGTATTTGCTGCTTGTTTGTTCACACCAATGTGCTTGAGAGAAACTATATCCGCTTGCAACCGTAGCAAAGATTTGTGTGTGTGTGTGTGTGGAATACATGCACTATAAAAACTATGGGAGAATATATTGTCAGACCTAACATTGCAGTTCTGAGCCTCTGCTGCTCTCTTGTGGGAAGAGCTGGAATGGAGACTGCAAGTGGATATTTTCCTATCTGACAGAAGAGTTGGGTTTCTCCTCCCACTCAGGCCCCATCTGTCCCCAACAAACAGTCACATAATTGTATGAAAACTTACAGTTCATTCCAGCCCCTGGCAATACTGTTTTAATCATGCTCCTATTGTGTTACAACCTTTCAAAAGCTATGGGGTGCACCATGCAACCAGAATGCTGTTCAGAACCAGCCTACCAGGGGAACTCATGTGGTAACATCTCTGACCTAAATCTTTCCTTCCCCTTTCCCTGGCTTCAGCATGTTCAGGTGTATTATTTTCCTCCTTGAATTTCTCCCCCTATAACCATAGGGCAGTCTCTTTCTCACCATCGGGAGCTCAGCGTTTGTATCTGTCTATAGTACTTATATTGCAGCAGCACCATAGCATTTGAGCACTTCTTATTACATATTCTCCCAACATCCCCATGAGGCCAGGAAATGCTGTTCTCCCCCTTGTACAGATGGGAAACTGAGGAACAGTGGAATTAAGGCCCAGATCCACAAAGACATTTAGGCACTTAACTCCCATTGAGCTCTTGGGGAGCTAGGTGACCAGATGATAGGTTCTTGCAAGCTCAGAGAAGTGTTTTGTGGGGGGATCTTCTACAAAAGGTATGGGAGAAGACACTGCCAGACACAACCCTATGTTTATGAGTTCAGTGGGAGAGAGGGACCCAAAGACCTTTGAGAATCTGGGCCTAAATGATACAAGAAGTCCGGGATTCAGAAAGGATTTGAAGATAGGTCTCACAAGTCCTAAGCTAGTACCCTAACCATTGTTTCAGGGTGAATGCCCTGTTTAGGAAGGGAGAGGATCAGGGTTGGATGGGGCTTTTAATGCCATGCGCTCAGAATGTTTTCAGGTTAGACTTAAGATTGTATAGTACTAGAAGTGGGAGTAAGTGATTTAATGTAATTTAAAAAAATCAATGTTATGAATGTTATGTTTTGTAAAGGGACTCTGGAGTTTGCAATGGGCATGTCTGGTGTTTGTGTTGTACACATCTTACTGCATCAACAAATTAGGGATATTCAAAGGGAATACTGTGAAAGTTATTTGTTCAAAGTCTTCACTAAATACTTTCAAACCAACTAGGGAGCAGTTTGTTCATAATTTGCTAATCAAAAAGCAGTTACATTGCTAACCATTACGATCATAATAAATAAATCAACCAACTCTTCTAAATACCAAGTGTTTGATCACACAAGGACAAATGCTAGCAGTGACTTAGTACACAGACAGGACAAAACCAGCAGCAGATCTATGGTGCAGATGTTAAAGAAGTGTCCCCGGGAGACAGAGACAGACTCTATAATGGTTCTCTGATTTCTTTGACAACCTATTTAAGTTTCAACTTAATAGTGGGAAGGATGGTCATGGCTACACCATGCCTCCATAGGGACACAATAAAGGAGAGTGTTGCTGATCTGCAGCTGGTGTTTTCTTATCTATTTCCAAGTGTTTAAGTTCCAGACCTAGCATATGGTGTGATATAAATAATAATATAATAATACAGTTTTGCTTTCTGAATGCCTGAGTAGAAAAGCCATGTGATTTATGTAACATGACCATTGTATTTAAGACATTATTTTACTTAGAATTTTAATGCATTTAAAGCACATCTTCTGGTTTCTGTAATCCGTTCTTTTGAAAGAATGAGCAGAGCAGTGATGTATATTTAATGGAGTAATTCATCGTGCTTCCTTGTACAAAATCCTAGCTTTCCAGACCCAGCAGTCAGATCTCTGCAGGAGACATAATGCTGCAAATGGAGAGATTGGTTATTTACCAATGTGGCTGAGTTGAAGAAACATGCTAAAAGTGTCACATGGGGCTCAGGATTTACAGAAGACCAGTCTCTGCTTGAGGCCTACAGGTGGCAAAGGTCTGCTCAGAATTGCATAACAATGCGAGGAGAGTGAAACTGGACTGGAGGAAATGATATTGTGGAGGAACGTGCTAGTATGCTCCATCCACAATTGCCCAATCCACCCATAAATCCAGAGTATCTGCATGTTTCGGCTAAAATGGTAATGGTAGTAACTGCCAAAGATACTACCCCACCACGTGACACAGAAATTAAGAGCTTCACCTTTCTTACCAAAATGATGTTCTTCATAAAAACAGAAGCTTCAGGGGGTAGCCGAGTTAGTCTGTACAGGATAAACTAAAAAACAACAGATGGTCTGGTAGCACTGTATAGACTAACAAAACATGTAGATGGTATCAAGAAAGCTCATGATACCATCTACATGTTTTGTCTAGAAAGTGCTACCAGACCATTTGTTGTTTTTCAGTTTATCATAAAAACAGTTAACAATGAGGACATCTACAAGTACATCAACACTGTGGAAAAAAAACTTGTAGCAGTGAGTTCCAGGGCCTAAGATGACAGACTTGGTCTTGCAGGCCTCAAGCTATGGTGCTATAACTGGAGTTAGGGCTATGAAACCCACACAATC